CAAATGAACTCCTAAAACAGCAACAAACTTAGTTATTAAAATATCTCACCAATTCAGAAATGGTTAAATCAAACAAAAGTGAATACTAACCAAAATGTTACCAAGTCCCTAATTATGTTAACTTTTTGCATGTAATTATTAAATTATGTTCTAATGATTTACTCTTCATAAGAACCTGAGCCAAGTTTTTCCAGCTCCTGTATTTTTTTATAGGAGCTGAATGTGAACAGTGTCTGTACTGGCATAGCTTTGAGTGCATGTGACCTATGTAAAATGTATATCTCTCCATTCACAATCTAGAGCTTGACCATGGCTAGCTAGCTTCTCATACAGAGACTATTATTACCTAATCACTCAATTTATGTAATGAATAAAGACAGTCAAACTGAATAAAACCCACTTCAGAGATTGAATTATGTGGCTTAGTCATCTGCATTGATCAGATTCACTGTATTATTATCAAAGGCATTTTAATTTGTGCTAACTCCACAATTTTAATTTGTGCTCATAAAGAATTATAGAATTGGAACTAGAAAAGGCTTTGTTTTACTGAGGACTCAAGATTTTCCCAGTTCTAGCAGCTCAGTTAAATTAGGAAAGAAAATCACCACTACCACCAAGAACAACAATGACAACAACCCTTCATTCCTATCAAAAATAACAAGAAGACCAAAATAAATAAATAAATAAATAAATAAATAAGCAAACCACCTACAGGGATAAGGATCTGAATCATCTCAGTTTTCTAGAACTAGTGTGGTAAAACAGTATAACAAGCTACTTAACTAGAGAGACATTAGACAGATTTTCCCAAATAGAATGGTATAAAGGAGCAAAGATGATGATTGTTTAGATACTAGTGTGCCAGACAGGACCTAAGGTAGATGAACACTTGGACAAGTCACCCCAACCTTTTAACAAACATGAGTATCTGTGTATGCCTAGAAAATACTATTATCTTTTGTTGGGACAGTGATTTGTAAAGATTGGAGAAAACTTCATCTTTGGTACTTTGGACAATTAAATAAAATTTATGTGTACCTAAGATACATGCTCTGTAAGTTATAGGATTTACCATACAATTTGCACAAATACTATGCAGTTTTATTTATCAAATTATGCTATATTCCTCAGATGATGAGGTTATGGGTGGCACACAAAGTGCTCTCTTAACCAGAATGGGCCCAGCACTGCTGCAGTAACAAAATCCACCTTCTCAGTGGCTTTATTCTCTTAGAATTCATGCAATGCAAGTCATGGCATTTCTCTCCAAGTTATTTTTATGCCATGAGGGGTATTTGGACCCAAAGATCATGACAATAGGGAAAGAGAAAAAAGGGGAGGCATACCAGCCCTTTAACTATTTGACCCAGATGAATACTCATTAATTCTCCTTATATTTTATTGGCCAAAACTGATTTCATGTTGCTTTTTTTTTTAACTCTCAGGGTACCTAGAAAAATTAGGGAATTACAAAACTATTTGGTGACTACTAACAGCCTCTGCTTTTATTCATAAAAATATACATGTGTGAGCTTTTATACATATTTGCTGTAAGATATTATTGTTTAGGATGATGTCATTGCTTCATTGTTTTGTCTTTGAATGGTATTTTGCTTTTTCCTATATAGATGCTAATAGCAGAATGTTTATTCACCTAATGGTGAATAATGATGTACCCTCAAAATATATGACACTTGTATGAATATTCCTAAGACAAAAACTGAAACTAACTTTTTAAAATTTAGGTCAAATAATATACTTCAAGTACTAATGGTTCACATCAAGACAGTTCCCTTTGTAATATATATACTTAATATATATATTAAGTACACATAATATATACAATTTCTGGAGTTTGAACTCAGAACCTGGGTACTGTCCCTGGGCTTTTTTGCTCAAAGATAGCACTCTACTATTTCAACCACAGCTCTACTTCCAAGTTTTTGGTGGTTAATTGGATATAATAGCCTCATAGACTTTCCTGCCTGGGTTGGCTTCAAACCATGATCTTCAAATCTCATTGTCTTGAGTTGCTAGGATTATAGGTGTAGGCCACCAGCATCAGGCCAAGTCCTTTAATTTTAAAATTCTCTCTTATATATGAAAATAATAACACTGTCATAGCTCTTTCAGGTGGCAATAATAGAAAACCACAATTTGATGGTAGGAAGTCTAAGATGGGGACATGGTGGATTCTGGTTTGATTTCCTGTTTCCTACTTTAGAAATGATGTTTCCTTTTCCTGTTCTCACACCACCAAAGGACAAGGCAGTACTCTGGGTCTCAAGCTCTCAAAGCCCTACCTCCCTGGATGATTCGCTTTCCATGACAGTGGTGAAGAGGATTTCAACAGAAAAGTTTGGGAGAACATACACTCAGCTCACAGCAATCACCTTGTATATTTGTTGTTAAGATCTCAATTTTAAAACACGTTTAAGACACTCAGCAACTAATACACCAAAGGAGCCAAATAAATGTTAGTTATTATCAATGTCACCAACAAGATCATTGTTTTGTTGCTTGCTCTCGATTCTCTGTAAGCCATAGTTAGCGTCAACAAAGCAAGTTCATTTTAAAAAATTAAGCCATTGATCCAAGAGAAACACAGTTTAAAGCAAAAGAGCAAACTTCTCTGACATTAAGTACAATCTTCTCTGAATTTTTTAGCAGAAAAAAACAGTGATTATTTATTTAAAACCTAAACATCTTTAGTTTCTGAATGATTTCTGATTCACCCAAGATAATAAATAAACAGGAAGATACTTTGAGTCCTTTTCCTTTTCTAAATTGTTTTTAGCCACACCCAATTGTTTCATCCTCATTATTGTTAGTATTATGCTCACCTTTGGTCCTCAGCTCCACCTGGACCTGGGACCCCTCCTCCCATTCCTGGAGTTCCAGACATACAGCTGGCCCCTCCCTCTCTCCTCCCAGACCCACCTGAGCTCCCATCTACCTCACTTCCTATCCCTCAGACCCTCCTGCTACCTGGGTGGTGACGTAGGCCATGTGCTCCCTCTTGGGGGAAATATGGCTCCTCCAATAAACCTGGTAATAATCTTTCTCCTGCGCCTGCCTGCCTCTGCATGGTCCCCTGGGATGGATGTGTGGGATCCTCTTTCATTGGTGGCCCGTACTGGGATAGGCTCCCCAGTGGATTTGCTCCCTGCTCCACTTCAGAAGGGGGTTCGAGTTGCCCTGGGACCTATCCAGAGATCCTATACTCCGTTCACCAGAGGATCACCAAGGTACCGAGCACTCTGCCTGCCTGCCTGCCTCTTGGCGGTCCCCTGGGATGGATGTGTGGGATCCTCTCTCAATTATTTACACAAAAATTGAAATAACTTTGAAGCGAAGGAAGCCAAATGTGATTTCAAAGTGTCACATTTTTAATGAAATTCCAAACTAAATATATGACTTAAAAAATTGTCTCAAGCAGAGTAAAAGGATCACGTTTGAGGCCAGTCTGAGCTACATATCAAAGCCTGATCTCATAAATAAATGAATAAATAAAGCCACTCTCAATCCTAAAATCTGATGATTCTGCTTGGAATGCTTCAGAAAACTTTCTCTTTACTTATTGCCCTAAATGTGAAAGTCTTACATGTAATGGCAGTTCTGCTTTTGCTTAAGCTTAGGAGGCAAAAGATATTTGTTAGCTTTTGTAAGGAGAAATACCACCCAGGACTCAAGTCCTAAAAAATTTCTTTCTCATTCTCTAGGACTATTCATTTTATCCTATAGTCTCTATATATAACAAATTAAAACTTAATAACTAAGTATTTCACCTCTGCATTAGTGAGCAGTGCATCAAGACTAGCTCTAATTTTCTTTATGTCTTTGGAAACAATTTTAGCCCAATAAATTGTCAGTGGAATCCCCTTTCTTAGTCTCTTCTTTATTTAAGAATGGTTTGGTATGTATTCAAGATACTGGAAGATAAGAGGGCAAAATCAAGGATATGTAACCACTCTAAAAACAAAATCAAGCAGTGAGAGACAGGAAATCCTGGAAATCCTAGAATGTGAGCAGAACGAAGATGGTCAGCCCGAAGAGAAGCCTTATAATACACAGATGTGGATATATATGGATGCACAGGTGTTATTTCTGTGCAGTGGAAGCCAAAGGAGGGCAACATAAATTTACTCAAAGGGCCATCGTGTGACTGAGTGAAAAGGTTTAGTTGCTCCTGGGTCAATAAGAATCAAATCCAAAAAGCACAATCAGGCTTAATCCAGGAAACAGCCAACAACAGGAGACGCCGCCTTGCCAGAATGCATCCAAGCTGGGAAGAATGGACACCTGGTATTTACAACAGTGTGTGAGCAACTGTATACATAACTTCTTTGGCTTTTTGAAGAACATAATTGAAAAGAAATAGCTATTACCATTGCTTTATAATGCCAAGAATCATATACATTAATAAATACATTCAAACTAAGGCAGCTGAAGAGACCATAAATAACAAAAAGAAAAATTAGAGCTATTCACAACAGATCACAGAAGATAGTACAATCCCATGCCTGACTAGAGCATTGACGGAAATGAGAGCAAGATACTGTTATCAGGAATATAATTAACTCTCCTTACCCTAGAAATGTGGAAGTTCAGTACTCAATCCAAAAATATGAATTTATCTACGTGGGTTGTAAGATTTTTACCATTAATGGAAAATTATGGAACTTCTATTGACTCCTCAATCCTTTGGGCTACAATATTTCTTTATTTTTTATTTATTTTTTGGGGGGGGTGTCCGGTCGTGGGGCCTGAACCCTGGGCCTGGGCGCTGTCCCTCAGCTCTTCAGCTCAAGGCTAGCACTCTACCACTTGAGCCACAGTGCCACTTCCGGCTTTTTTCTTTTTGCTTATGTGGTGCTGAAGAATTGAACCCAGGGCCTCTGGCATGCAAGGCAAGCGCTCTACCACTGAGCCACCTTTCCAGCCCCAAAATTTCTTTAAAATATTATTATTTTTATTATTTTAAGAAAAGCAGGCAAGTGCTGGCTTCAGCATCACAGACACTAACATTGGAACTATATGAGATTAGTATGACTCCTGCACAAAGATGACATGCAAATTCATTAAGCACTCCATATTTAAATAACCAAATAAATATGTATATGAGTAAATAAACCATTTCAAAAGTCTGATAAGAGTATAACTTATGTTCAAGTAATCACCACATCATTATTCTCCATTTTCTCCTCCTTCAGGCAATTTTTTTTTTATTGTATAGCTTCTTAACCCTTCTTAACCCTCCTCTTTCCTTCCCATTTACTCTTGGGTAAAGGTGAATCAAATCAGGTTCCTTGCAATTAAAATGATAAAAAGGGTTGGGAATGTGGCTTAGTGGTAGAGTGCTTGCCTAGCATGCATGAAACCCTGGGTTCAATTCCTCATAAACAGAAAAAGCCAGAAGTGGTGCTGTGGTTCAAGTAGTGGAGTGCTAGCCTTGAACAAAAGAAGCTCGGGGACAGTGCTCAAGCCCTAAGATCAAGATCCAGGACTGCCCCCCCCCAAAAAAAAGGTGATATGTCAATACCTACTACTGTTTTTGATAGCTTAATCCCAGTATAATAAAAATTTGAGAATATAATTTCAGGAATCATTTTACCAATTCAGTTATTTGGAGAAGAGATCTTGACTTCTGAATATGGGCCATGCAGCAACCAACCAAGTTGATCCTGTCCTGTGTTTATCTACTCTAATAACAGTTAAGAAGGGCTTTTGTGATCTTTATTTATAAGTGATAAGCATTGTCCAACTTACTTTTCATATACCATCTCACAGAAATTATATATGTATCATATATTATAGAAATTATATATATTATTGCTAGAGGTAAAAAAAGGGAGGTCTATAAAATTGAGAGCTTTTTTTAAAAATAATGAGGCTCAAATTTCTTGTTGCATCTGTTAAATTCCTATACCCTGGCTTTCAACCCACAAGTACTCTTCTACATTAGTATGCTTAAACTAAATGCACAAGTGTTTCCAATGCGCTTACAGAGAAAATACATAAAATGAGAGAGTCCTCTTTCTTTGTAACTTGTCTTACATCTTGCTTTCTTCCACTGATCCCTATATCTGTGGCAAATTTAATCAGAACTCATCTAGACATTTCAGGGTCAATTAGACACTATTAAGCTCCTTTCAAGAGTCAGTATTCTACTCATTGTTCCCTCCTGCTATATTTTCAGAAATACATGAGTTTAATACATTTTTCTTTTTGATTAAATTCTTTAGGTAAAATGAATTCCTCTTTCTGGAACCTGAAACCTATGATTTTCTTCACCCCTCTCCCCCACTATTTTCCTTTAAACAGAAGTTTGGATGAATTATTAGGAGAACAGAATCAATTATTTCCATATTCACTCAGTGGGAAAGAGACTGGGAGTAGAAAATTAGAGAAAAGTCTGCCATGTCCTTGGCTCTCACCTCTTCCTACCAAACTGTTCTAGATGATCCATATCAAACATCTAAATCAGTTGGGGTGAACTGGGTTCCAAAGGGTTCTCCAGTTTAGTTCCTGTTCATAAAGAGAGATTTGGGAGACTATGCCTGAGTAACAAGAAGGAAGTATTTCAAAAGCAGCAGCCGAGCTGAGTGCTGGTGGCTCCTGCCTGTAATCCTAGCTACTCAGGAGGCTGAGATCTAATGATCACGGTTTTCAAAGCCAGCCCGGGCAGGAAAGTCCATGAGACTCTTATCTCCAATTAACCACCAGAAAACCAGAAGTAGTGCTGTGGCCCAAGTGGTAGAGTGCTTGCCTTGAGCTGAAGAGCTAACTGAAGGACAGTGCCCAAGCTCAGAGTTCAAGCCCTATACCCGACCAAAAGGAAAAACCAAAAAATCCAAAAAACCAGCTGCCAATATGGGAGCAGGGAGAGTTCTTGGCCAATCTTGTAGTCAGGCTCAGGTTCACCCCACTATAAACACTATTAATAAAATTTGTCATGGTTGAACACTCTTTTGTTTTTTTTAACCAAGTTAGAAAAGTATACACGATAAGTACAAAATGGGAGAAATCTGTTGTCATGAGGGAGAGGAAGCAGGAAAATCATTGGAACTGTGGTTCATCTGCTAGATGTGGCCTGCACAAGGCCTCTTAAGAATGACAAGTGCTGGGCCTGTGTGACTCAGTCCCCTCCTACAGTCAGTCAAGGCAATCTTAGAACCATTCAAATGTAAGATTTAAAAGTTCTCAGAGATGTTACCCATGTATTCTGGTGGTGGTATGGAACCTTTGGCATTCTTGTGGAGAAACCTCTGTGATGTGCATGCACAGGAGACAGAAAAACATAAAAAAGCCAATGGAGCAATGGTGTCTCTGTGCCATGAAATGGGTTTACAATGTTAATTAAAGTAGTCCACTAAGAATGAGAAACTAACCTAAAAATACCTGGGTAAACTCTTCCTAGCAACACTGTTGCCCTAGAAATTTTCTTTAAATTCTTATGGTAAAAGCAAAAATTAAAGAGCTGTTTCATTGGGCAGTTGGCCATGAATACCTCAGATTCAGGTGGCATCCTTGATAATGAAGAAGTAAGACAAAGGACATGAATCTTGAGAGTCATGACTAGAAATCAATTTGGATGTGACCATAGAGTCAAGGGCTGATGGTGTTGGTAATGGATGAGCTTGCCGTCTAGCATTGCGTTTTGACTGGGTTTATACCATTGGGACTTCCCTCAGCTGAGCTATATTTTCCCCACTCAAAATGGAAAATAAATATTACTTGCTTACAACAAGCAAGCAACTGTCTCCGTATATTCTCTTTTCTACTCTAGATTCAACTGCTTTTAAGAACACTCCAATTTAGCTAAGACCAAGATCTCCCTGTCCTCCAAATTTCGATGATTCTGTTAAATAAAAGAGAACCAAGTGACCATCCTACCCAATCAAAAGAGTTATGGAGAGCTGTCTGTTCTTAGCCAGTGGGGTTTCAGCAATTTTCACAGTGAGGAACAGAAGCTAAATTGGCTTTATGGGTAGGCTGATTTAACCATATAGTGGTATGGTTTGCCTTGATGACTGTAGAATTAGTATTAATGTTCCATGGTTGCACTGGGAATGTTTATCGGTACCATCCAAGAGGTCCAACAAAAACAACATAAAATCGCTGAATAGAGGAGAAATTAAAGCTCTCTGATTAAGAATCTTTAAGGTACTGGGGGCACAGGTACAGGTGTACCACCTGTATGTCTAGCAAAACAAGGTCAATGCCAGTGGAAGGCATAGAGTGAATTCACAAACCAGTGGATCTAGTAGATGCTCCAATTACTCAGCTATTTTGGACAAGGGGATATAACTTAATCTACTGCTTTGTACATGGCCAGTTCCTTATTTGCCTGCCACTGGCACTTGGTCATCGTTAACAATTCACACTCGTATGGTAAGGCTTCAGATATGCATAGCACGGCTATGTTATTTGCCACCCACGAGTGGTTCAAGATTAAGTACATTGTCTCCACCCTACAATATCTATAATTCCCATATACTTAAATAAATGTGAATTCTTTCTTTTAGAACTTGAAATTTATAACATTTTCCTTTATGCTGATTTTCTTGACATAGAAATCTCATTGATTTATTAAAACAAAATTATATTATTTCAATTATTTCCAGCTTGAAAAAGACAGGAACTCCAAGAAATGGAAACAAGAGGTTTTTTTTTCTTTGTTGTTATTTCTGTTTTCTTTTCTTTCTGTTTGGTTTGTTCATTTATCTGTCTTTGGGAGGGTAGGGGGGGTCATAAAACTCGAGGGAAAAGGAGTGAACAAGTGCATCAATAGGGCTCACTGGACAGTGTTGAAAGTGAACTGTGCAGGGAGAGATGGGAAGGAAGAACTGGGAAAGGATAAGGGAAAGGTTGGCACTGTACTCATCACCTGATACCTGCAACTGTCCTTCTGTACATCACCCTTATTTACAATAAAGTTAAGAAAATGACAGGCAAGAGTATTGCCTCTTCGCCTATAGCTGTTGTAGATTAGCAAATCAGAACTCAGAATTAGCAAAACACTACCCAGAGGAGTAAGCAATAAACTCAAGTGAAAGGTAGAAGCCTTTACTAAATAAATTTTCTTAGGACCATGTAGGCAGATCCATCATACGTGCCATCTCTCACAAAGAGCAACTGCTGTTCCCTTTGCCTATCTTCTCTCCCTATCCAAGCAGCTATGTTTACTGCAGCATTATTTACCATAGCTAAGATATGGAACCAACACAGATGCCCCTTAGTAGAGGAATGGATCAAGAAAATGTGGTATATATACACAATGGAATTCTATGCCTCCATCAGAAAGAATGACACTGCCCCATTTGTTAGGAAATGGAAAGACTTGGAAAAAATTATATTAAGTGAAGTAAGCCAGGCCCAAAGAAACATAGGTCCCATGGTTTCCCTTATTTGCAATAACTAGTACATATCTGAGACAAGCAGAAAAGGTCAGATAAGATGATGTTAAGCGACATGAACTCCAAGATAAGGGCACAAGTAGTTTTTTTTCTTTCTTGCTATTGTTTCTAACTTATTTATAAGGTACCATGTGATTTTTTTTGTTGCTTTGTATGTCCCTCCCCCATGGTGTAACCCCTGTTTTCACCGTATTAGAAGACTCACATCTTTATCACATGCTCAGTATGGATCTCATTTAGTCATTTTTATTGATTAATTTGTACATGAGAATACTTTGAATGGGAACCAAGTAAGAGGCAGAATTGAAGGCCACACATCATCTACAGGACACTATCTACTTTTAAAAGTCTCAAAATCCTAATACCAGTTTGTGCTCTAATTCCATGGCATCTATGCAACTGTAATGAGCTCACAAACTTGCAAGTAAGAGAGTGTTTCCAGTGCTTCAAAGATAGATAGATAGATAGATACTCATTTTTTGGGGAGGTAAGACTTTTCTCCCCCTAATTCAAAATCAGCAGTCATTTATTTAGGTAAAGCTTCATCTTAAGACTCCTCTTACAGGAACAAAAGCTTGTATATGAGGATCAACTGAGAAAGATAAGGAAATAGATACTGAGGAAAATAGGGAAGAGTTTTGAACTGATCCTATTTTAAAGAAAGTATTACTGATGATAAAT